GTTGTTTGGGAGACACACGATCCTGGTGAGGAAAGGGCTGCTGATTTCGGTCCACAGCGTACAGACCGCACCAGATGCTGGCTGCCCATGCCTGGGACTGGCCACATCGTTCTCCTGTCACTGGGGTTGCAGGTTCAGAAGGGATGCAAACAGTGGCCTGCTTTTAAAATCTTGCCCGGGTGACAAAGCAAATTAGGAAACTCCAAGGCCCACAAGATGCCAGCATGAGAGCAAATCCCAAGTCTGTGCCTGGTACAGTGCCCAGCACACATAGTAGGAGCCTAAAAAATAGTGCTTTGAATGGATGAAGGTCCATCGGCCACACAGTAATGAGGACCTAATTATCACTGCGATTTCTTTGATTAACGCTGTCACTTTTCCTGTCAAGTGCTTTTGCATCTGCTTTACCTGAAGAATTGTTTCAGTATGAGCTCTCTTCTGCCTGAAACATAAGTGAATTCATTCTCCTTTCAGCTTTTCCTTCGTGGTTAATGCCTCTCCAGAGTATAGTGGAGGTTAGTGTCCACTCTTGGTCCTTCTGAGATTAGCAGAAAGAACCACTGGCAGGAAAGAACATCGTGGGGACAAAGGAGAGGTCCTCGCTCTGCTTGGCTCCAGGAAGCCACAGGGGCCTTGATATCAGTTCAATCTACAAGAAGCCTTTCCTTCCCCCACTTGTGGTTGATTTTTAATTTTTAATACAAAAGCATATTGCCATATAAAGCAGAACACTAGGCTGGGCGTGGTGGCTCGCACCTGTAATCCCTCCACTTTGGGAGGCTGAGGCGGGTGAATTGCTTGAGTCCAGGAATTTGGGACCAGCCTGGGCAACATGGTGAGACTCAGTCTCCACAAAAAATACACAAAATTAGCTGGGAGTTGTGACATGTGCCTGTAGTCCCTGCTACTTAAGGGCCTGAGGTGGGAAGATCACTTTAGCCCTAGGAGGTTGAGGCTCCAGTGAGCTGAGCTAAGATCACACCACTGCACCCCAGCCTGGGTGACAGTGAGACCCTGTCTTCAAAAAGAAAAAAAGCAAACCACTGCAAAAGTATAAAAATAAAATGCATATCTTCTATTCTTCCCCACTGCCTGTTCCACTCTATAGGTTCTCTTTGAAGTTCCTACATTTAAAAAATATTTCCTGATGGCACAGGCTCAGTTCTAGTTGTGGGGGATATAGGGGTGAGAAAAACAGTCTAGGGCTGTCTTTGTGGGTCTTATATTCAGGTGAGAGAGACAATAAAAGACAAATGAATGTAAAATACAACATGGTGAGTGCTATGAAGAAAAGTGAAGCAGGGTAAGGAGCTAGAGTGCTCCGGGGCGGTCAGGGAAGGCATTTCTAAAGCCGTGACATCATGCAGAGACTTGAATGAAGTGAGGGAGTGAGCCACACTTGTAAAAACCCTCTCTTTCCCTCCCTCTCTGCCTTTTGCCCTTTCCTGCTTTTATTTTTCTCCAAGAAATGGGGTTATACTCTGCATTGTATTCTGTAGTTTGGTTTTCTCAATTCACAATGTACTGTAGATTTTTTTCCATGAGAGTGCATCTAACTCTACCTTCTTTCTTTTTAATGCTGCACAGGATTCCATATACACATGTATGTGTACACACATCTGTGTGTATATATATATGTAGACACACACATGTATGGATACGTGGATGTCTATATAACAAGATCATACTGTAGACACACATCTGTGTATATATGTATCTAACAGGATCATACTGTAGACACTATTTTGTAGCAGATGTGATTTTGAGGTGCAGAACAGAAGCTGGAGTAGCCCATTTCAGGAATAATGACTATGTGATGTGATATGATCCAAGAAACAGGAAGCATGGTGGGCTATTTTTCATACTTGGCATAAAGTTTTCTCCATAAGTGGTGAGTAACCTCCAGCCCTTTATTCTTTTTCCTCTACTTTTCTTCATCTGTCCATTTTATTTCTATTCTTCCTTTCCTTCTACACGTCTGCTCTTTGCATCTGCCTATTTCCCTGGATCCCTTAGAGAGGCATGCTTCAATTCGTCTGGCTGCTCTCAGGGGCATTTTTATTTTTAGATGACGGCCGTGTGTAAGTCAAAGGAAAAATCTCAGGCCTAGTATGGCATGCTTGGGGATGGTGGTTTGTTGTATGGGGTAAAGTGCATCTCCTTTCTACCAACAATACCTGCCCAGAGGGTCATTTGGCTTCTATTCTTCTGCATTGCATTTGCCCCCCAATATATAACATTCACTCATAAAATTATTCCTTTATTCATTTATTCAATCAATTAATATTTGAGATTTTGTATTCTACCCCAGGCCTTATGCCACTCATTAGAAAAGTCAAATTGATAATTTCTTCCTCTATGAAGTCCATGAGTTAAGGAAGAGAAGAATAGGAACGGGGAGAAAGGCAGTAACAAAAAATACACACACATACATGTAAAAATATAATTTGCAGGTGTTAAGTGCCTTACAAGGGAAAAAAGCTGGGAAGAACCTAATTTAAATTAAAGACCAGGTATCAGGCTAAACCGCTCTGGGGAAGGAGCTATAGGTTGAGTTCTGAGGGTGAGAAAAGCTTGGCTGACTAGAGAAGGTTGGAGAGGTCCACCAGGCAGGAGTTGACCAGGGTCTGGGCCTGAGGTCAGATTGAACAGGGCACACCTGAGAGGTATTGAAATGGGCCAGAGGGGTAGGAGGTTGGGAGGTGGTCTGGTATCACGTCATGTCATGGATTTGTTCTAAGTGCAGTGGGAAGCCATTAAAAGGTCTTGGGCAGTGAGGTGGTCCAGTACCATTGACGTTTGGAAAAGCTCACTCTGGCTCTTGCAGGGGATCAGAGTGGAGACAGTGAGAACAGTGGGCAGCCACTGCAGAGTCCAAGGACTTGGATGGAGATGGTATGGTGGGCAAGGAGAGCATCAGATAGGTTGAGAAACAGACCCTTGTTCATGGTTGTCAGCAAGTAGGTTGGCGGAGTTCCTGGAAGACATTTCTCCCAGGCAGGTCTGTGGGTGCAGCTTGCATTGCCTACTTGCTGTTTTGAAAAGGAAAAGAAAGGAGAAATAGGTTTTCTTATCTGACGGTTTTCCTCCACGGGTAAAGGAGACGTGGGCTCTGTTGATGGGCTGCTTTTGGAGACCTGCTGCTTCTGTAGAGCACAGGGCAGATTTGCTTGGACTTGAAGGAGAAGGAGACTGAAGGACGTGGGTGCAGGGGGTGATAATGACGTTTCACTGTAGCTTTAGCAAGGCCAGTCATGAAGCCGAGGCTTTATGCCCTTATCGCCTCAAGCCTGTTGCCTGGCATTTAGAGGCGAGTACTATAATTGCTCCATTTTACAGATAAGGAAACTGAGATTCCGTGAGGTAGATTACGCTGCTCAAGTTGACACAGGCAGCTGTTAGATTTCAGAAACAGTGTTCTTAACCACTCTACTATCCTGACAAGCCCGTGAAATGTAGGTGTAGAGGATCAGAGTTCAGGGATGAAGGAGTTACATTTTTCTGTATTTTCTGGCATGTATTTCAACTGCTTGTACTTTCCACTGCTTCAACTACATGCTGCTTTGTCTGTCTCTTAGGTATTGAGATACTTGGAGTTTTCTATCCCCAAAGTAGCAGTATATAGCAGAACTCAGGCCTGGAGGAAACGGTTCCCTCTGAATCAGAAGGTGAAAGGCTGTAAAGTGCACAGAGTGGTTTTCGCTGAGGCTTAGACAAAGGAGAGGCAGTTCTTACACTTACTCTCTGAAGATATGAAAGAAAAACAGAAGTGACACCAAGAGTGGAAACTTACTCTCTTCTCAGAGACACAGTTATGGCAAGGAAAGAGACTTTCCAATTTTGGTGAAGGACTCCCTACGCAGTAGTATATTTCTGGGTCCTGAAGATGAAGTTCAATATTTGGTTCTCTCCACAGCCCTCTAAATTTAGGCTGTGTGATTCACTAAGTTGCAAGTGTGCACGTATGTGTGTGTGTCTTTGTGTGTACACATGTGTGTGTAAGAGCAAGAAGTGCCTATTTTGCTTGTGGTGCCTGGTGAAATATAACTTTTGGAGGACCTCCCTCCCCATCGGCTTCACTGCTTTTATAAGTGAGCTGCTGGTGCAAATCTTGTTTATATTCGCAAACAAGTTTCAGATGAATCATTTTCTGTTGACCGTCGTATTTTCAAAAACACGAAATTTTTACCCTTTAGAACCATCTCAGTTTTTAAAAAAACTGGCAGCCACAACTAGCGGGTACTTTTCGAGCCCATAGGCTGTTCCTTCTCTAATATAAAGAGCGTCGGCTCACTGGGCTGTGCTAGCCATTGCCTCCACTGTCCATATGCCCCTAGAAAACTTAAGTGATGCCAGAGTAGGCTTTTATAGCCAGAGGAATGTGAATCTGCACTTTCTTTTATCTTGCCTCTTCCTTAATTATTGTGTTTTACCTTTATTCTCATGAAAATGGTTCAAAAGCAAACAGTTCCTGCTGTAGGATTTTTGGAAAGGCTGTGGTTGAAGGAAATGCTGCCCATAAAGGAGAAAAGAGAAGAAAAAGGAATCCATTTAATACAAAATGACTGCAGGGGGAGAAATCACTCATACCTCATTATTGATGCGTTCCACACAATTAGTGTGATCTTGAGGGAAGAACGTTTGAGCCACCCACAACCTCGAATATTCTCATTGGGTAGATGTAATAATAGTGCACTCCACAGTGAACTCTGCCAGCACCGCGGGCAGTGATGGGGAGACCCCATCTTGGGGCTCTGAGTCTTGTCTCTGGGAGAGCCCCTCTCCCTGGCCTCCTTCTTTGAGCAGAGAGAGGTTAAGCCTGGCCATTAACCCATAGGTGACCCAAATAGAATTTTCTGTCCCAGGGATCCGTTGATTGCCAGGTATGGCTTTGTGGTAATTCTAGCATTTGCAACCCAGCAATTTGAGCCTTCTGTCTGCCTAAATGATGATTTTACATTGTAATGGTTGTACTAAATCCTTTTGCTTTTGCTCCATAGCCGCTGTTGTGACAAGAAAAGCTGTGGCAACCGAAATGAGACTCCCTCAGATCCAGTGATAATTGACAGGTAGGGACCACTCTTCTTTCACTGGATTCTTATTCCTCATTATAATGAAACACCTGCCCTTGTGCTGCTCATGGGTGAGGGTTAGGAATGCATGTGGCCGAAATTTGCCTTTTGGTCATGACTGACGCTGAGCTGAGCGATTCTGATTCCTGGGAAAGCCATGTGGAATGTTCTTTTAGAGGCCTGTTCCTTGGATTGCTCCGGTTTTTGTCTGATTCATGCTCCTAAAGGAATATATTTTTTCTTTCCTGACTTTCTGTGGCTCCATCCTCATGCTGTGCCAGGAAGCTTCAGAAATAAAATAATAATAGTTTGTGATTTATGAAATGTGGTTGGGTGCTTATAAATATTTAACTTTTATTTGAAAAATGTTTGAATCATTATCACTTTTAGCTACAGTAGTTCTGTTGGATGTAATCCATCTACATTTTAAGGTTTTATTTATGCATAAAAGCAGTTTAAAGAGATCTGTGAACCAAGATTTTCTACTGTTATTTGCTGGGTTTGATTGCAGTAGGAGACTGTATTGTAAGTTGATTAATTTATCCTACTTGTCTTAATTATTGTGTTTTTAAACAGATCCATATTACTAATCTGACATGACCAAGTAAATCACTGTAGAACAATAAATCTGTTTTAGTTGTTTGGTGCAATTTCGAGTCAGTATGCACGCATTATGCAAAGTCGCATTCCAAATATTCATTTTACGTTTTAATTATTGAAATTCATTGTATGGAAACATGTATGATAAACCATTCGTTACATAGCATTGCTCATTGAGAGTTAAATGGCCTGGAAGGTTTATAGATACTGTCAATTGTCAGCTAGGAAAGGAGCTAGCATCTTGTACTAGCTGGAAAAAGAGTCTTGCCAATAAGACTGACTGATCCCTCATTGAGGAAATCAACGGCTGAACAAAAGTCCCTTTTAGGGTTTAGCAATATTGATTTTTGACAACAACAACAACAAAAGAAAAAAGAATCTGTCTTTCTACCTTTTTTGGGCTTGTGTTATCATTTTCCAGTTAACAACAACAACAAAAAACAAGATGTGTACTTTGCTTCATCATAATTTATGTCAAAAGATCAATTGTTGATTTGGACTTATGTGAGTCTTCAGGCTTAAGCCCAGTCGATTGCCAAGTAGCTTTATAAAGGTTACATTTCAATGAGATATTTTAACTAAATATTTCTCACTAATATTCACTCAATATATCTATTTTTGCTTCATATAAGAGTACTAGTACATTTGATTCAAAGGTAAAAGATGTGAAAGTGTAATGTATGGTGATGTGTGTGCTACGTATAGAATTAGGATCGCATGTTTATCTACAAAAGCAGATAGACTGTTCATATAATTGCTTTTTCTGTGACTGAAGGTAAAAATCTCCAAATGACTAAGGTCAAAAGTAAATTTACCCTTTATGCTGGTTTGTTTCATTTAAATGTACCTCTCCAAAATATCATTCGTTATTTTCAGCATTTTTCTTATTCCTTTGTTAAAAAGAAAGTGTACTGATCAAAGGACCAGCCCAAATATTCCCCCAAACTTTGAAACTATAAGCATTTTGTTCTGCCATACAGTTCCTTTTGGTTTAGATGATGACAAGAACTTTACCTTGCCACCCTCAATGAAAACACTTTTTTTTTTTTTTTTTTTTTTGCCTGTGAATGGGTTAAGCTTTTAAGTTCTTCATTTGGTTTTAAGCTGTGACTCTGATATAGAAGGTTGATATGACTGTGGTTTGAATAACATTTGATTTTGACCTGTTCCTGTGGGTTGCGATGGCATAAGAAACTTGACTCAGCAGCGCTGTAATTAGCCCGGCCCCTGTTTTTGAAATAGGATTGTGTTACCTGGATTGCATTAGTGTGGCTTCTATTGTTGCCGCCTTGCATCTGTCCCAGAAGGGTACTTAAAACCTTTTCTTGGCTGGGGTAGTTCAAACAATTTAGGCAAAATAAGTATGCACTTTATGCTGTTGGTGGCTTCAGAGATATTACTCATGACATTTATCCTTTTCATTTTTTCCCCCTTTTGGTTTGACAAAGTAGAAAACTGTGTGCAGCCAATCTTGGTCTCCTCAGATAGAGTACTTTAAAAACAGCTGAAACTCAGTGTATGTGCACAAGCCCCACAGCATATGTTTATTCTCTGGCTGTTGCCATTGTCTCTGATGAACTATCTTTTCATTCAGTGATGCCAGTTGATATGCAAAACCCCATTTAGCTATTTTTATTTGCATCTGAGTTTTCAGAATTTATTTGTCCTTCAGGCTGCCAAAGGTTTTAAAAACTCCAGTCCTGTCTGTGCTGATATGTGAAACTTCCATTTTTAACAATGAGAGAAGAGAATAACAACAAGAAAAGAGCTTATGCAAGAAAGAGCAAAATAGAAAAGATTTTTCAATTCCATAAAATTGCTGCAAAGGGGACAAAATGATGGCAACCGTGTTTGAATTTCATAGTTTCCAATTTGATTCTATATTACTGATTGCATAATATCTGTGTTACGTGCTTAGGGTTTGATTTGCTTTCAGATTTATGGATGTGAATCCCTGAATATTTTGTAAAAATAGGCTATGAGGCCTGAATTGAGTAGCAATAGTAACTGTTTTCAAAAGATGCATACAATATGTAATTACAGAGCTGAGGGTACAGGTAATCCTTACGTTAGGATTTAGCGTAGTTTTAACACGCAGTCAACTTTTGAGCACCAATAATTTTTAGCTCTCTTTGCTTGTCCTTCAGAATTTGGGAGAACACTGCTATTTTTATCAGTCAAAAGACTTTTAGCAGTGGTTATTCAGGAAAACTATTTATAGGGTAGAGAGAAGAGGCTTTTTTCTGGTCATAGTGCAATCATGCAGGGCAAGCTATTTCTGTGTTAAATTTTGGCTGTATTATTTGCTGCCAGTGACTTTGGGACATCAGCCTGGCATATTCTATCAAAAAAAATGGAATTAACAAAATCAGCAGTTGCAAACTGATTTAAAAAATGGGCTTCTATTATATTTCATCCTTATGGCATGCACAGACTAAGAAAAATATGACCCCAATTCTTTTTACAGTCATGACAATTTGTCAAGTCACTTCAAAAAAGTGTATAGAAAAATTGCTGTAAATGTAGGAAGCGAACATCTGGACTTGAATGCCAGGTTGTTTCTGTGTGATGCCAAATAGCTTGATTAAGAAGCACAGAACCCAGCCTGCACTCAATGATCCAGATATTTGGGCTGCATGGAGATGGGAAAAGTGTTATGTTTAATAGCAAATGACCAGGAACTAATAACAGCAGATTTCATTATTTTTGAGGTACAGAGCTATGAGTGGTAATTATTGTTAAAGTAAAAAGCAAAAAATGACTTCTAGTTATTGAATTAAGGTGGAGATTGATTTAACATATTCACACAATAACTAATATTTGAATTTAAAAGGTTTGCAATAAACTTCATGTTTAGAAAATGAATAAATAGTAGTTTTATTACCACATTGGATATCCTTGTGTCCTAACCTTTTTCCTTGGAGTTATCTTGGTTCAATAAATAAAACCTCATTAGACTATTCCCATTTCAACGAGTTTATTAAATTTTGCAGGAGTAATTAGCATAAGCTGTGCTAATTTTTCTGGAAGACTAATGAGGGAGGTTCTTAATTAGGTTTACTTTGTAAGAATCAGAAAAGATGATAATGACAAAAGTCACATAGGGTAGTCTGAATTGGGAACCCAGTTTTTCTGCATCTATAAAAAAATCACTTTCTTTATGGAAACTTTTAAATAAATGTTTGAACTCAATGTATTAAGTATGCAGACTGTTATTCCCTATCTAGTTACGATGACCATTCAGTCTTGATTTGCTTCCCAAAACTCTTCATTTTCCTAAACTGTCTTTGAGCAATGACATAGATGAATACAGATGGTCTTACAAAAACATTTCTTTCTCCAAAGTATGCTATAGGGTTCTTTTCACACAGAGCCCTGAAGTTTCTGGCTAGACTTTTGTTGTTTATTTGCAGTGGGGCAGGACAGGGGGCAGCTCATTGTTTGTTTGTTTGTTTTTTCAATTTAGAATTAGTGTGATTGATGAAATGGATCACTAAGTAAGGGTGACAATGTGAGCATCATTCCTTATGCTATGAATCCTTACCTGTTAACAAGTGGATTTTTTTTTTTTTTTAGTAGATGGCAACACTAAAGGATGAAATTCCATCTCAAATTATGTTCTCCTATTGGTGTAAATGTAGACCTACTTTTTTAAGGATATAATGTAGCACCAGTACCCCAAAAGTTTTGGGTTCCTCGAAGCCGATATTTAAAATGTGGATGTTAAAAGCCTGTCAACCTCTAAGAACCTTTGTAAGAATCAGAACGTCTAAGAATTTTGAGTTTGTTTGTTGTAATCTTAACAGAATTGCCATGCCTTTTCCCCCCCATTTATAAGAATTCCTATATCTAGGTGTATAGCTGTGGGATGTAGGTCTTGATGTGACATTAAAAAAATACACAAATTTTGTAAAATGAAAAACCTTGTCTGTTTGGAGTTACTTCAGGTCACACTTACCCAAGGGTCTCCTATAAAGGAAAAAAATGCCTATATTTGTTTTTTTCCAGGCTTGTCTAAAGATCTTCCACATCTAGATCACTTCCATTTAGGTAACATCATCTGGGTTTGTTTTATGATTGTCTGAAATAGAATGTTCAGTAATGAAAATATTAGAATGCCCATTTGCCTGTTGATTTATATGATGTACATCATATAAACAGAAAAACTTAGCCATGTTAGGGTTGCTCAGATAAACACGTTTATTGAAGATTCATTCTTTTTCTAAGAGAAGTAAATTCTGTGGTAAAACTTTCCAGAAAAGTGCAGTCACTAAGCTAATTTTCTTCATTAGATTGACCCCAATGTATTTATATATTGCCCATCTGTATAATAGGAAAACAATAGAAAAACTTTAGAATTAGGAGAGATCTATCTGTCTGTCTATCTATCTATCTAT